TAATTAATTTTTTTTTTTAAAAAAAGAACAATTAGATAATTTAATTTAGTAATTAATCTTTGGTTTAATGATAATTTGATTTGTCCAATTACCAAAATAATCATATATTTCTTGTTCTTCTACTTTCTTTTAGATATTTTGAATTGTAATTCATTTTGGGATATGTGAATATTCATTTTTATTTATTTTATATTTTGTATTTTCTTTTCTTTTATTATTTTATTTATTTATTTATTTATTTTATAAGCACATATTTCCCTCTCCTTATTCTACCATATGGAAGACAAATCTCATCCTCTCTCTCTCTCTCTCTAACATGCATGAACACATATCTTATTGGTTTATGGATTTTATGCATATATATATATATATATATATATCTTTATATGTAAATACATAATTGGGTATTACAATCTTCAAATGTCCCATAACTTAGATCATGCATCTAAGAGCTAGAAAGAAACATGACAATCAATTACCCAAAAAACTTATGATGATGTAAGTAACTTATTTTCTATAAAATTAGAAAAAGTAATTTGAATGAAAATAATCAACAACCATTAACCATTAAACCAAATACATATATATATATATATATGTGTGTGTGTGTATCCATAAATTTCCAAAGCAAGCATGTGCATGGAGGCATGGATTTACAAGGGGCTTAATTGCATTGACTTAGAGACTTAGTTTTTGAGTGCAATCAATATGCTCTCCACTTTGATTTTTTATACCCAAAACTCCTTAGGAAAAGAAAAAAGAAAAAAAAACCCTTTTCACATTTCTAGTCTCTTAGACAAAATGGTTCTTGAAAAAATATACATGGTGTAAAATAAATTGAGACATGTAAATTAAATGCAACAACCAACAAATATCCAAATTAACCCATCATGCTTGGGTGTATGTATATTAAGTCAATGTGGGCCTCTACATATATTGGTTGTATGCCACTTCAACAAATTCACATGCTTCATCATCATCCACTTTCACATCATCTAAAGCCTTCACTCACTTTGAAGCTTTTCCAACACAATATATTTGAATACTCTAAAAAATAATTTTAATTAATAATAAAAAGAATACTTAATATTATTATTAATTTATTAATATACTAATTTAATTAATTAGTAAAAACTTTTCTTTTGAACTATTTTTTAAAATATTCAAACAAGACTATATATATATATATAAGCATAAATTGTAGTTTAAGGATTGGACTGTGCCCTAAAAAAAAATGGGCCCTTTAATTGGGAAAAAAAAACCCATTATTATTTTATGAAAAATCCATTTCCAAGACTATATATATATATATATTTTAATGTCTTTAACTTTCAATTAATTAATGGGTAATTAAAATTAAGGTAGCCCATGCCACTTCAAGAAGAGAAACATATAGGCCACTCTTTGGGTCAATGACCCACAAAGCCCAAACCCAACAAATAAATTAGGCCCTTTTGAATTTCCACCACCTACATTTTTTTGGACATATACATATATATATATATATATGTGTGTGTGTGTGTGTGTGTGTGTGTGTGTGTGTGTATAAAGTAAAAACAATTACTTTAATGTTACAAAAATTATACAAATGAAAGAACTATTTTCTTGGTGAATTTAGCTAAAAAAAAAAAAAAGCAAAAGTAGTAGTGTGAATTTTATCTACCCATATATTTTTTATTAGTCCTCAAACATATATATATATACACACACATATACACACACACACACACAAGAGAAAATTAGATGTAAAATTACATAAATATAATTTTAATTTAGTTTTATACCCATCAACAAAATAAAAATACAAGTGTAGTTTGTTCAATTATGCATCAAATGAAAAATTAACCATTAAAAAAAAACACACACACACAATATATATATATATATATATAATCATAATTTATATATCTATATATATGTTAATCATGATAGGCCTCAATGATAGACATTGTGCTTGGTAAGGTAATGACTTTGAATTTGGGAAAGCCTCCTCCTTCTAATATTTGCTTCCATTCAAGCTCAGTCCTTTCCTTTCCACCGGAGCTATGAGCCATCATCAACAAATCAAACGCAAACCCTAAATCGTTCAGTGTGTCATCTCGATCAGGTCGTAGAACAAGATCGATAATAATCACTTTTCCCGTTTTGGGTGGTACCGATTTTCGACAGTTTTTCAAAATTTTCACACAATCTTCATCGCCCCAGTCGTGTAAAACCCACTGCATAAATGAACGTATATTTGTGTCTGTATAGTTAGATATATTATAAGATAAATCATTGGAATCTTAAGAATAACTACCTTCATGATGATGGCGTCAGCATTTGGAATGGCTTGGAACATGTCACCTCCAACATGTGACACTCCATGATGAACAGGCGCTGTAGAAACCACATGTGGCAGATCAAAGTTGATCCCTTTGATGTGCGGATGGGATTTCACAATCTGACCAATCATTTCTCCAGTCCCTCCTCCGACGTCCACCAATGATCCAATGCTCCCGAACCCATCTTTATACCCCTGCAAGATCGACTCAATATGAATCGCAGCCGTACAAGCCATTCCATCGTTAAAGAGCTTATTAAACTCAGGATTTCTCGAAGCAAACTCCCAAATCTCAACCCCATGAGCCTTCTCAAACGCCACCCCACCTTCTTTCACGCACTGGCTAAAGCAATGCCATGGGGCCATGGCCTGAGGATGATTCTCCATTAGCAGTAATGGCACTAGGGTTTTCTGGGTTCCATGTAGAATCCATCTGGACTTGTAGGAGAGGCCGTAGCGGGTTTCTCCAGCGCCGTCTGATGGAGGATGGACGGTGAAGATGTTGCGACGGACCAGGAATCTCATGATGCGGCCGAGGTAGGTAATATCTGGGGAAGTGGAGGAAATGGCGGAGGCGATTTGGGTTAAGGTGATTGGAGAGTTGTGAGAGTGTATAATATCGGCAATGTGGAGCTCCACAGCTGATTTTAGAGCCATGGAGTCTGCAAAACTGAACATGTGCTGCAAGATTTCTGCGTGGCCTTTCAGGATTAGGTCTGGAGAGGTCTCTGTGTCTTTTGAACCCATTTGGTTTTTTCTTGAATCTTGAAAGGTTTGGTTTCTTTGGATAGACTAGGTTAGAGAGGTTGGAGGAGACAAGCATGTGTATATATAGAGGTGTATGCGTGTATATACATGTGTACGTCAGGTTTGATAGTCGTGGCGTGTATCAGGTAAGGGTTGAAATGAGCTGACACCATGCATCCATGTGTCGTTATATCCCAATCTTTAGCGAGTCAGATCTGAAGGCCCCTCTTTTACTTACGAAAACTCGTTGAGATATTTATCTTTCTAATAATGGCATTAGCATTACGGATGGTCCCGAACGTATCACATCCGATGCGGGCGACCCCATTGTGGACCGACGCCCGCTGAAACGACACGTGGCAAATCAAAGTTGGTGCTTTTGATGTGCGGATGAGATTTCACAACTACTGATCCGATTCAATACAACCGAACCTATCTTTGTACACTGATAGGATCAACTCTGATCAATCACATCATGTTTGTATTGAATATTTTTATTACTATCTATTTGTTTCAAATATTTAATTTTTAGTGTTTCTAATAGAATAATTAAATCATTTAAAAAAATAATTTTTACTAATTACTTAAATTAATAACAATAAAAAATAAGTTTAACAGTATTATTAATTTACTAATATTTTAATTAATTAAATTAAAATTTTGAACTATTTTTAGATATAATTTAACTATTTTAATTAATAAATAAAAAAATAAATATTTAAAAAATAGAAAAATTTAATTTATAATAAAAAAATATTAGAATAATTTTTTTTAATCTCATTATAATTACTTTAATTAAAAAAAATATTATCGAAATATTTATTTTACTTAAAAATATAGACAAAATTTGCGAGCGAAACATCGTAAACGAAATTAGGTAAACTATAAACAAAATCTTCGGTAATGGAACACCATCAATGGTTAAGTAATCAGTAACTAATGGAAACTTTTCCAAAGAAATCTAAAAATGCATGAAGATATACAAGTTATATTAACTTGCAACTTCAAGCTTTCCATATATATTGATATGTGTATTGTCAGTCACCTAATCATCATGTACTGGAATTCAATACTTTCACCTAAACCCCAGAAAATTAACATGAGAAAATGGCTTAAAATTTTCCCACTCACCAAACAGTACAGAGATTAGCTAACCAGTAACTATCCTGCAACAAAATGGCTATGTAGCATCTCCTCTAATTCCCACATATACACAACCCTTCCAGCATGAGAATATGATCCACACAACACCCACTAGAAGTGAATCCTGCAACATCAATCTTAGCAGACAGAAAAAATTGCCCCATCCGGAGGAACATTAAACTTGTACTTTGCGCATCTCATTCCCGGGTCTGCGCACGTGGGACACCTAAGAACTTTCGGAACCTTAGAGAAGCAAGACGTTTGATTAATCTGAAGCTAAAACTTTGGCATCAGTCACAAAAAATTTTTATAGGGTTCATCATCAAGTGAGGGTAACTGTCAGCTTCTCTGGCTGCAGGGTTCGTTTGCTGTAAAATCGTAAATCTTACAGCCTGCAACAAGCCTAAACTACTCTTTTCTCCAATGTGGAATTTTCTGGAAAACTTTTTAGGCTTTTAAAAGGGGTTCGGGTTGATGACAGAGCTACTGATACAAAAGGTTGTACGCTGGTAAATCTTTTATCCGATGAACATCTTCCAAGGAAAGTTCCCTCTCCAGTTGTGTCCGTGTTGCCTGTAAAACCTCCTGAAGAAAAAAGAAATGGGATAATTAGCAAAAGGCACATGAAGTTGAATGCAAGTACACTTTTTTCCAACAGCCAAAACACGAAAACAAAAACCTTTACTCGAGCTGACTTCCTATAAATCACCCTCGATTCATGATTGCCAATAAACCCTTCATTAGCATTTGTGCATAAAAAAGGAATGTAACCCGAAATAGAACATACTTGCTTGAATTAGATAATAATGAAAGAATAAGAAAAAATCTGTTTTTCTCTTTATATTATGGGGGAGAGAGAGAGAGAGAGAGAAGAGGTACATTGAACTCCATGTATGAAGCATGCATAGCAAGCCACTGAGCATCCATTAGTTCAAAAGCTATACAGTACAACACATCGAAGGCTTCTTCATCTTCTGCCAAAGGAACAACCAATTCATGATTACCCGAAAGGGCAAAGTGGAAACTCAATTACAGTACTATAACATACTTAGAAACATTTCCCTCTTTTTTTTTTTTTTGAAATAAGAAACAGTACCCTCTATTACCTCCTAATAGTTTAACAAAATTGATTCCCGGAAGACATTTTGGTTTCGCTGCAAAAGATACAGAGTTGTTAATTCCAGTTAAAGCATCTGTTCGTTTTTCTTAAAATTCAAGGTGTTGTAACTACAAAAACGAGCAAGAATATGAAACATTATATGGCTTAGTGGTGTAGAACTAGATCATTAAAGTTATTCACAGACCTGAGTGTAAATCCAACATACGAATCAACATAAATGATACGTTAATGCCAGCAACAGCAAATGGATATTCCCAAGTTGCCCGCTTGCCATCTTGCTTCAACAATAACCTACGAAAAGATGCCTTCATTTTGAATTTTTGCAAAATCAGTAACATGCATAAATTATTTTCAGCTTAAATTTAGAAATTAGAAAAGCTGAAAAGAAGCTACGCAAGAAAGATTGAAGCCAATGAAATAAGACACAAAAAGAAATCAAGGATGCAATTTCTTGAGAGCGTCAAGCAACAGAACTTAATACATACCGGATAAGTCCTCGAATAATACAGCAAGTTCTCGAGAGAAATAAAACCACAGCCCCTAAGGAGAGACGTGCAGTTATACAATAGTTTGAGTTTTCAAATCCAGCAAAAGGTGCAATTAACATAAATTCTACATTGCAATTTTATATTATAAGTACGAGAATGAAACCAGAAACAAATGGTGATTCTATTGGAAGACTGACTCAAACTATATCATGGTAACCTAATAACATAAACCTCCCAGATAACTCATCTCAATTGCAATTGCAACATAAAACACACTGTAAGTAATCTTTTTATGTAGTTTATTCAATTCCATATAATATCCATGTGATATATTTCTCCAACTGTCAGGATTCAGAAGGATAATTTCAGTGAATGATTATTTTAATATACGCATGAACTTTCTTCTAGTCCTCCCAAATCACCATATATATGTTATTTTTTTGTTAAGGATGCAAAGGACCCAGATAAAGTATAACCCGGACTAGCCTTAATATCAAAAGACATGTACCTAAAGTCAGTTGATGGATTAGGACCTTGCCATCCCATGTCTTTCCACTGTTCAGAGATCATGCCTTTCAAGGCAACATCTGGAAAGGCAGCACACCACAACGTTCTAAGTGCTTCCTGACAATGAAAAATATATTGTAAGGAACCACGGTCAAAATTATAAAATGTTGATCTCCTTTGGAAAAAGAAAAGGAGAAAAAGAAAAGGCACAGGACAAAAAAGAAAAAGTTTAAGATATGGGCTTCTGGAAATATGTAGTCAATAACTTTTCCATGAAAACTAATACTAAGATTTAGAATTGAGAAGGAGAAATGGTTTTGCCTTTGTTTTGGTCAAACATTATATATGACTGAAAAACTAACCAACTTCCAAGAGATTTTGCAGAAGAAAGCACAGCTAGACAAAGGCTTGGTAATAAAAACATGTTATTGAAGAACTATCAAGGAGATTAGATTCATATTACATAACTCTCTAGACGCTTTTGTAGTAATGGAAGAAATTACAGATATGGTAAGGATCAAGAAAGTACCTGATGACCAGGGCGAGTCTCGTCAAAAGGCATATGTAATCGTTCTTGAAGCCTTAGAAGTCTTTGCTCCTGGTAAATAAGTAAAAAAGAAACTATGAGTTTGTACTATACACCCAGGCCATATTAATGAGTGATATGCATGCAGTTGGAAAAATTACCAAAATAAAAAAAAAGGCCTACTGAGTTGACATTTCCTGTTTTACCTGAAGAGGACTCAAATTGTAGTCATGAAACTTTTCTCGTCTACTATTGCGGTTAAAAAGTGCTCCTATCCATGCTCGCGGTCCAACCATAGCATTAGCTACAACCACCAGAAACTGATAAAGATAAGCAAACATCCATTAATGAAAAGATTTTATTGTGACAGAAGACAGGAGCAAAGTGAAAGCGTGTGCATGATCTAAGATGATCAAAGCAAGCCACTTTAATAGAAAATGAACAAACAAGCAAACTTTTCAATGAAAACATGTACGAGCTTCATCTGTTCATAATGAGTATGAGTGATACTCTCGGAACAACTAAAGGGAAAGCTTACGAGTTTCGCCAAATAATCTATTCATGTTCAACTACAAAAGACATCATGATCTATTAAAGTCACTAGTTCTTGTTCTTCAATAGGAAGGGGAGAAACCTATACTATCTTCATCTTATCGTTGGAGACTTGACGCTACTCATTGAGGAACTACTCATAAAAGACTAAAGGAACTTCATAACTTACCTAAATCTATTTAGCCTTGTCTTAACAAATAATAATAATATTTAAAACATCTCCCTTCATTTTAAGATGTCAATGAATTGTTGGTCCAGTGGCATCCCAGCAACTTCAAGGAGTACACAATTACAAAGTGCAGATATCAAGATAGTTCATGATAGTTACAGAGTTAGAGATATTGTAAATGATTGTACATCAACATTAAGCTGGGAAAGGAATATAGTGATAATTGATTGATTCCAAACAGAAAGACACAGTGAACACACTTACTAAAACATTGAGCCAATTGGGATATTACGTGAGTGGAACTATGTGACCATTCCAGCTCTTCATCGCTCTTCCTTTGTCTCCAGTAAACTTCATCCTCATCAACCTACATTTTCAAAGCACAATTTAAAAGAGAGTAATTGCACAACAAAAGCCACTTGATACCAAACAACATATACACTCTCACTGGTAATTCAGGCTTATAAGCAAGCAATAATGAAAGACATACACATTTTGATCACAGATAGTTCGTGGATTACGTGCTAGAAAAGTACTCTAGCAGACTAAAAAGTGATTTATACCAGATTTACCAGCAGCTAGCTCTATGCACAAACACAAACCTACATACACACATGTTCAGACCACCTATATGCATATGTGGGTTTGTGTATACGAGAGATGTTTTTGAGTATAAATGCAGGAAAAACGAAAGAGAATTACAAGCAGCGAGTTTGATTAAGGTATCACACTTAAACACATCAGCAATTCACATAAATGAAAAAAGTGACATATATGTTAAAAGCCTCTCAGAGTTAACAACATTAATCTCCACTGATCTCTGTAAAGAGAGAAGTAGAAGAGAGGTGTTTTTACTCTGTGAAGAGAAGAGCAAGAAGGAAAGCATTGTCTACGTTTCCTTAATCTCATGAGGGAGACCAAAAATTAAAAATGAGATTTTTTTCACTCTTTTCTAACCAAAAGCAAAAGGCTCAAAAGAGATTAACCAAAATGGGTGAGAAATTATGGCATATAACTCATGCCCTCTTCTCATTATTCAACTAGTAATCATTCCACCCCCCCCCCTCCCACCTTTCTCTCTGTAGAGAGAGATGGAAATAATTCAAGAAATTATATAATGGCATATATACAGAGATACCCAGACGGCATTTTGAATAGGAAAAGATTAACAGCGCAATCAAAGGGATTTCTTTTTGCATAACTTTACACTGTAGAAAATTTTTTCTGTTCCTCACAAATTAACAAAATGCTTCAAAAAGCCGGCAGCGCAAAGCAAATTGAAAATTTGGAAGAAACAGAAAAAGGATATTGGTAGGTGTTCCGCATAAAAGCAAAACACGACTAAGCAAGATAAAATTGATAGTTCTACAGAAACTTAAAAAAGGCTGAATGGCAATCATAACGCACCTCCTATAGCATCTGGGAATAAGCGGGCATTGTGGCTGTGGCAGAGGGTGCTGGTAGGTCCCACTTGGCGAAAATGGTGGGGCCAGGAGGACTGAAGGAGGAAGAGAAGAAGAAGATGAGGAGGAAGAAGAAGAAGAATAAGAAGAAGAAGAAGAAGAAGAAAAGAAAGAACAGAAAGAAAAGAAGAAGAAGAAGAAGAAGAAGAAGAAGGGAAAAAAATAGCATTTTCCTTTTTTTTTTTCCAGATTGGATAATGCAAAGAGACAAAATTTGAGTTGACAGGGAGGTGGAGAGTAGAAGAAGTCTTTGGGGTTTTCATTGTTTCCCTGTTCAGGTGCCATGGAAACCAGTCACTTCCTCCAAAAACTTTGCCTCAACCGTAGCTCTCGCTGCTGCTCTCCTGCTTTTGGAAATCGGGTCGGCTCTTTTTTGGGCTGTGACCTTTTTCCTCAATTGTTCATATGGTTTGAAGCCCAAAAAGCTCCCTAGCTTTTAATGGAATTTGGATTAACCATATTTTCACTTACCATTAAATCTTATTATAAAAGAATTTCTAACCATAAATACATATAATATAAGATTAAAACAACTTGATATTTTGAATTTGCTTTTAAGGGTTCTTTTTCATTACCATATAATATAAAATTATATATACATATATATATATATAGATTGATATAAAGAAAAGTGTTAATACAAATAAAATAAAGTAGAAAAGAACTCTCTTCATTACATAATAGGAATCCATTTCTTAACTTACAAAGGTCAATTAACTATAAAATTGGATTAAATCCACAAAAAAACCCAAAAAGATAATCTACTCTATGATACAAAACTACACCGTTTTTAAACAAAAGATCATCATGGAACCGGGTAAGACTTGTTATTACACATGCATTTGTAAGCCATGGGACAAGTCTCGGCCTCTTCCAGCGACGCGCACACGAAGCTCACCATGACGAGTCTGCACGGCGAGCATGAGCCGCACGCGTGCGAGCAGTCCGGCAAGCTTGAGCCGGCGATTTGAAGCGTGTCCGGACCCTTTCTCTTCGTTGGAGGTATCCTTCTTTCCCTGTAGTAGTAATTTGGCTCTGCTGTAGCCACTGTCCCTTCTCTTGTTCTTCCCTGTCCATGAGAATGGTGATGCCTATGATCTGTTTGATGATTTGCTTGTTAGTTCATACAAAAAAAAAACATATACAATAACAATATGCACATCATATGAAGTAAATAGTAAAATAAGAAAAGACATAAGGTGGATACATCCATGGACAACATCGAGAAAAAACTTTCTAGTATGATAAAAATGAGAATATATCACAAGTAAAGTTATAGATTCTTATATGAAAAAAGTACTAGCATTTTCTATTAGAATATTTTATAGGATATACATAAAATATTCAGCAGAATATAAGTAAAATATTTTCGTAATTAAGTCACATTAACATTTATCATATATACGAATTCGAGTTACCATCTTGTAAGGATGAGGGTAACTCAAAAGCATGCATATTTAGTCTAATTAGAGCTACAAATTAAGTGGGTTTTGAATGAAAATTGAAATAAATGCAACTTTGAAGTTAAGTAGAGGGAGGAGGAAAACCATACGTGTTCTTGGCCGGCTTATGTGTCTGGCAGATGAGATAGCAGGAACAAGGAGAAGAACAGTGAGAATTGCAGCAATACAAACAAAACCCTTCATAGCTTTCACTACTTTTTCTGGCTTTTATTTCAAGCTTTTGATTTTCTCAATGTGGGTGTACGTTGTATCTTAATTTTCTCTCTTGTCAAACAATGAAGTGGGTAAATGAGGTGAAACTTGAGAAGCAAGGGGCAGAGGTCGGATGAATATTTAAATAGGGTGGGAAATGTGTATTGAAGCAAATCACAGACAAGAGTGTGATACAAGAGAATTCACATGAATAAAAAGGTGATGTACATGGTGTCTTCAACAAGTCACAAGACTCAACCTTTAGTAGTTTCCATTGAAGGTGTTTGAAGAAATTTCTGAATTAAAAATCCTTCCTTTTTCGTGAATTCTGACTTGAAACTTTGCCGCCAATACATACATCATTAAATGCTTTTCTGTGGAGGTTTTTTTTTAAATTTTTTCAAAGTGTTAAGGAAATGGGGAGAGGGGTCTAATGCTGTGACTGCCATTAATGTCTCATTTGTTCTTTGATGGACCACTCTCACAAGCATTGTATGCTATTGTATCTATCCATATATTTATGTCTAGTCCTTGTATACAAATTCTTACAGACCCAGAAATCAACTTTATTAGCCTTATAGTACACTATATGTCAAACGACAGCAGTACTATTTTAATTACTAATATGCTATTTGTATGTTGTAGATCAATTTTTGAAGCTACATATTCATCACTTGTACTCTACTTTCCCCATTAACCTTTAGAACTTGTGGTGAAAATTATATGGTGACCCACATGGTTGTTTGTATCATATATGTTGAAAAATATAGATCAGAACCATGATTTCTGATGGGTCAACTTTTGAATTACTATTTATACGTTGTACATTAATCTTCGAAGTTAGATATTGATTAATGGTATACTAATTTGAGAAAATATCAGACGACAATTTAAATTTCATTTAATATTTTCACCAAAATTTGCTATGTTATTATATAAAAATAATTAATTTTTTAAATCATATAAGCAATTTTTCATTTTATAAATTGTTATATATTTTAATCTTTTTGAGTATCTAATTTATTAATTTTTTTTATTTGTTTCACAATTTATAATATATAATTAATATTCAAAATACCCATAACTATTATACAAAAACCATATAATTGATCATTTCTTAAAAAAAAAAACAAATATATTTGTAAATAATTATTTTATTTATCTTTTATTTATTTTTTGTCAACTTTCTCCTTTAAGATAATATAATTCAGATAGTTTACATATTATATCAATTTTCTTTTTAGATTAAATAAGTAACAGTAATATTGTATAATAGATGTCAACAGATTTTAAAATATGTACGATCTAATTCAAAATTTTCACCCAATTAAATACATATAACATATGTTTTAATAGATGTGGGATAACTATTACTCGCTCCATTAACTTCATCGTTATAGAATTCGAGAGTTGTATCTACTTTTTCAATACTATATTTTGACTTTGTCCTTGTTAAAAAAGTTAGTGCTAACAATATCGATGTCCATTGAACCCGCTTTGAATAATTCTCTTTACTTGGATTATTTGCATGCTTAACAAATATGAGAGAACAATATATATATATATATATATAGTATATATAATAATCGTAGTTGGTGTAATGTAATCTAACAAAAGTATATGAAGTTTTTTAGATTACATTACAGAAATTAAATCATATTAAATAATTTTATTGGTTAGTATTAGTTCTACCTACTACATTTCTACTTTCTATCAATACAATAATTTAACCCATATTAGACAATTCTATGATATCTTGGACACAAATTTGTATTTGTTCTCCTCTTTTTAAGTAAAAAATTTACATATAAATTTATAATTAAATTTTTTTTTAATAAAAATTACCGTCCATTTTTTATAAGAATATGTTAAAAAAATTACAGTCAAATTTAAAATTATAATTTCTTATTAAAAAAATTAATTATTTACTTTTATAATATGATGCGAACTTGCATGGAAGATATGATTAATTAGGAAAATCTGGTCAAATGTCAATATAGGAAACCTAAGACCGCCTGCTGCAGTTTCTTGATTAAGATACATATAGTGTATGACACTTACACATGTATACGTTGTAAGCTATTCAGAAAAATCTTACTGACCGTCCGATTCAATCTGGACACTGTGTCTGCCACGTGTATCTTCATCCGTCCTGCACTGATCCTGATCCGAGTGTTGCTCGTCCACAGAGAATTAATACTCATGGTCGTTCTCCGTTGACTTTTCTGTACGCATACTATCGTCTATAGGCGCCCGCCAAGAATGAAAATAAAAAATAAAAAATAAAAAAGAAAGCAATTAATATTTAAAAATTTTAAAATAATTAAAAATTAGCATTAATAAAACATGATAAATTTTTAGTTTCAATTTATATAAAATTCAGATTTCCACTTTCTCATATTCATCTCTTCACTGTGAAATTGTTAACAGTAGAGAAGAACAAGAAAAATGAACACTCTGGTAAGAAGCACCACCTCCACTCTCAGCCGGCGGTTTGATGGGTATGAGCCGTTGGATCAACGCCGGCGGCGGACATTTTCGAGGAGAAGAAATGAGGAGGAGGAGCAGCAGCCTACTAGCATAGCGGCTTCGTTTAGTTACAGGCGCCGCCGAGCAAAGCAAAGACAAATCTTTCTGAGTTCATACAAGTTATCTTCACTGGAGAATTTTGGGCGATCAGAACCGCCGGCAAAAGTTGTCGTTAAGTTCAAAAACGCTGTCGTTTCATTAGTGTCCCTAATGCGAATTGGGTCGTTGAGCTCATCTTGCAGTTGCAGAACATCAGCAATTTGTGCAGTTTCTTCTCCATCACCAATCAAGAATTATCGTTGATTATTAACTTTCTCTGTATCTTCATGATTATTAACTTTTGACCTACTTGTATCCACATTGCTGTCTAACCCTGAAGTTTCTGTTGATCAGATTCATACAATTAAACAGTGATATTATGGTAATATTATCAAGCTTAAATCGATGAAAAACAATTCAATCTGAATTCCAATAGATTCGTTGCAGAAAAAAATTCCCCTCTTTCCATCTTGCTTGATGTCAAAGAAGGATAACTAAATCTTTTCCTCCTCCTCATCCTTTGTCTTGCTATGACGAATGAACTAATGGATTATGCCTACCAAGGAACTGTTCTCAAGATACCAACAAAGAAAGACCAAGATATGAAATCCTCGGTAAAGACCTAACGAACCTTAAGCCTCTTCTTTGTGGAAGCAGGATGTTTACCGATACCATGATCATAACTTGGGCAGATCACTAAAAGTTTTGCTTGTCCCACATTCATTTCTCATCTGCATATTGTCCTGGTTATATCTTCTCATTTCTCCTTTTCTTAACATTATTCTAGGTTATCCATAGTCTCGAGATATCTTCGTATAGGCTTGAGAATTTCAGGGTGATCAATGCTTTTGATGTGCAAAGGATTTTAGCCTTTCAACTGAATTTCTTGTGAATGTTAGAGCTGAAAATCCTACTGCCCACATAGCCAAAAGTAGATATCAGAAATTGAGATGGAGAAAATTAACATCAGGACATATTTACTTCAAAGAACAAAGAAAATTTATCCATCTATGCTAAACTCTAGCAGGCTTGGGCTTGAGATTCAAGAAACCTTTGAGCTTGGAATCGGACTTGTAAGAGTCCAATAACCGAGTAAAAAATCCTACAAACAACAAAGAAAAACTATCAATTTATACCAAAACCTTAGTTGACTTGGACTTGATCTTAAAGATAGCCTTTGGGTTGCCATTAGAACTAAAGAAACCCCCCATATATACACACACACACACATATACATACATAAATTTATTTTCATATTATGGTTGGTTCTAAAAAGTTGGGTTTCACAAAGCATTAGTCTTTTATGACTCCAATAGATATCAACAATTCTCAACTTTCATGGGCATAACAACAAGCATCTTATGTGTCTGTTCCCATCTTTTCCAACTCAAACAATTCTGAAAGGAAAGCTCTGAACTTTCAATTAGATATCAACAATTCTTCCATACACAGTACACATTATATATATTTACATATATGCGTGTTTTAAGACTTGAATCAGATATCAACAATTCTCAACTTTCAAAGGCAAAACAACAAGTAGCTTATGTGCCTGTTCCCATCTTTTCCCACTCAAACAATTCTGAAAGGAAAGCTCTGAACTTTCAATTAGATATCAACAATTCTTCTATACCCGATACATATTATATATGTTAACATATATGCGTGTTTTAAGACTCGAATTAGATATCAACAACTCTCAACTTTCATAGGCAAAACAACAAACATCTTATGTGCTTGTTCCCATCTTTTCACTCACTCAAAAAATTCTAAAAGGAAAGCTCTGAACTTTCAATTAGGAATCACCAGTTCTTCTATACCCAACACATATAATATATATTTACATATATGCGTGTTTTAGGACTTCAATTAAATATCAACAATTCTCAACTTTCATAGGCATAACAACAAGCACCTTGCGTGCTTGTTCCCATCTTTTCACTCTAAAACAATTCTAGAAGGAAAGCTCTGAAACTTTCAATTAGGGAGACTTGAATTAGATATCAACAATTCTCAACTTTCATAGGCAAAACAAAAAACATCTTATGTGCTTGTTCCCATCTTTTCACTCTCCCAAAAAATTCTAAAAGGAAAGCTCTGAACTTTCAATTAGGAATCACCAGTTCTTCTATACCCAACACATATAATACATATTAACATGTATGCGTGTTTTAGGACTTCAATTAGATATCAACAATTCTCAACTTTCATAGGCATAACAACAAGCACCTTGCGTGCTTGTTCCCATCTTTTCACTCTCAAACAACTCTAGAAGCAAAGCTCCGAACTTTCAATTAGGTATCACCGGTTCTCCTATACCCAATACATATTATATATATTTACTATATGGGTGTTTGTGTTTGCGTGAGAAATTCTTCTAAACAAGGAAGTGAATGGCTGGGTTAGGGTGTAAGTAATGATTGCACATTATGTTTAAATATAATGTATGAAAACGATGTAAATTATGAAATTTAGAGTGAAGGTGACAGAGAAAGCTACCTTTTGTGGCCATTGTCATCGTCATCGTCATCGTCATCGTCATTATCGCCTTAAAACAACTTTACTCAATGCTTAAGCAAAGGCCCCACCACACCTCTGAAAATTTTGCATGTCTTGCCAACACAAGTTGGTCACCATCCCTAACCCATCATATTAACTTATATAATATTATATATACATACGCATATATAGAGTGGTGGGTTGGATAGCCCTAGTCCCTTGAGTTGGGTGTTGCAGGTGCTACCAACCGCGCAGTCATTTTATTTGTTGAAGCTGATATGTTGATTCCGACATGTCAACATGGTTTTGTACAGCTTAACATGGCCGGTTCAGCCGAACTGATAAGAATTTCGAATCAAGCCGTGCTACTTAATTGATTAAATCACTTGTATCCTTGTAAAAATCTTGAACCAAACTCTAAAATAACAAATACACGTATACGTATATATAAGAACAACAATACAATAGTGCAAAGGGTGAAAATATATTCCATATTGTCAACCAAAAAAAAAAAAAAGTTGGTAATATAATACTGTAAATAACAAATAAGCTTAACCTAATATTCTTCAAAACTGTAACAATCAACAATTTTAAGTGTTTTTCTTACATTTAGAGTTCGATTCTGTAGTTTCGTTAAGATTTATATTATAATTATAATTTTTTTAATATTTATATATATGTATATAATAGAATTAAACCCAGAACAGAATCTTACCCCAAAAAAAAAAGAAAAATTGAAACTTCAAAATGAAGTCAAGAATGTGATATATATGTTATGATATTTCTACTACTAAATATTATTATATTATTGAGATTCCTTTTCACATCTCTATTCACTTTTCAGTGTGTTTATAAAAAAAAAAGCACTTTCTGATGTGTCTTCTTATTCTCCCTTATCTCCTTTTCTTTCTCTAAAAATTTTAAATATATATATATATATATATAAATATAATTCAACTCTGAACTTACACGATATAATAATTATTAGATTAAATTATACTAGGTTAAAATTTCATTGTAATGTTATTCCTCCAATCGCCAGATTTAAAATGAACAATGGAAAAACAGTTTTTTTAAATATGTATATTTAACTTGGTGTATATATATATAAAATAAAAATGGAAAATATTTTGACACGTGTGTACGTAGAGGTGAAGTAGTGGAGAGCGGTTAATTCGTAGAGAGGAGCTAGAACACTCTGCTGATATTCTTCTTTGTCAAACCCACTCTCTCCTAAATACCACACCCACCTGCAACAACACCACTACAAACCCAACTGTCTTCTTCACCACTTTCTTCATCTTCGTCTTCAGCTAATACGCAATACCCACATCCCAAAAAACCATGCAAAAACCACCCTGATCACCAGCTTTATCTGCAAAATTTTGTACCAGACATGTTTGACATCTTCTTCGGCTGGCGAAAAGCTTCAAAATGGTAACTTTCTTCCAACAATTTGAGTTTTATTTTGTTTTTCTTTTTCCTTTTCAAGTTCTAACTTCGTTATTACAAAGTTGAGTTTTTTTCTTTTTTTTTTTTCTCTCTTGTCTCAATAAAAATGGTAACTTTCATTCCAAATTCTGGACCTTGTTACTTCCCTCCTCGTGGGTTCGAGTCGTTCTTCGTTAATAGATTGTGTTATGTTTAGTATATTTATGTGTGAGACATATGTATTTCTTACTTCAAAAAATTTGCTTATGGGCTTAACTGGTTGCAGCAAGAGGCTGATCAAGCAGGTTCAATGCCGCCTCAAGCTTCTGAAGAACAAAAGATTAACAATTGTGAGGCAATTACGTGAGGACTTGGCTTCGCTCATCAAAGTTGGCAATGAAGAAACTGCCTTTAACAGGGTAAACTTCAAGCTCTCAGAAAAATAAAAATTCTATCTTTCTCATGGTTTCTAATTCAAGATTTGTCCTTTTCGTTTTACTCTGTTTTGTTCTGTTTTAAATTTCAATAATTTCCACTTTTACTTGCATAAACCAACTTTGTTGTTGTTAATTTAGCAGCAAAAACAAGATTGGATTTTGTTTGTGAAATTGTTTCTTAGTTTGGAAACTGTGTTATTAAGATAGAAAAGATTGAAGTTATCGATTTTGTTGTACTCGTAACGAAATAAAATTATGAAAGTACTAAATTATTTCGAAAGTTTTAGCTATTAGTTATTCTAGTCTTGATCAAATCTTGGTAATTCTCTGTCATTATTAATTATTTCCAATACAAGTTAGTATAGACCTATACGATAAGATACTTATATGTGAATGAGTGTTATTATGTAAAATAGATTTTAAATTTTTCTCTTTCAAGTTTTTAGATGATTAGAGTGAAATCTAATTCGAAATAGTTGATTTTTTGTGTTTTTCTAATGAATTTTCTAACTTTTCAGGTCGAACAACTCGTTCAAGACGAGAACATGATTGCATTCTACGAATTATTAGATCATTTCTGTGAATTCATCATTAATAACATGCCTTATATCAAAAAACACAAGTATGTGATCCATTTCTTCCTTAATTTTCGAGTTTGTATTTTGTGTCATTTTACACGATATGTCTCCTGATCTTCAAACTTTCAGGGACTGTCCTAATGATATCAACGAAGCAATTTCAAGTCTCATATTTGCGTCTGCAAGATGTGGTGATTTGCCAGAGCTTTGTGTGATACGAAAGCTATTTGGAGAGAGGTATGGTCAGAGATTTGCAGCAGCAGCACTTGAATTGCTGCCTGGGAATCTTGTGAACCGAGAGGTTTGTCAATTTCGGGATCGTTTAATTCAAAGTGGAGTTCTTAGGTCAGAATAGGTTCATCATGCTAATCCGATTTTATCATTTCAATGTTTTAATTACAGATAAAAGAGAGACTTTGCATCAATTCAGTTCATGCTGATGTGAAGCTCAGATTGTTAGAGGATGTAGCTCGAGATTCCTGCGTTAAACCAGAGATTTTGGCACTCGAGTTCCCTTCTGCGCTGCAACAACAGGTGATTTTTTAATCAGTTTAAACTTTCGAGATAATTAGTCACATTTAATCATTTAAAAATATTAATTCTTGCATGCTTTATGCATATGTACAGGCAAACCGAAACAGCAGAGAGCGAGTGCTGGAGAGAGACACCCAACCATGTTTTGAAAAATTTGAAGGGCACCAAATTCAAGAATCAAATGCCAAAGAGATGGAAAGAAAAGCTGTTGACATTGATTCATCCGGGACTATGAAGAACTTTTCGACTGCAATAGCTCTCCCTCAAATTCACCAACATAATGATGTTATCCCTACTTGTATTGATTCTTCCACAGCTCAACAATCTTCACCAGATAAACTGGACTCACAAATTCACGAGAAAGGAAGAAGTAGAGAATTTTCGCAGTAGATTCCGTAGTAATCC